ACAAAGAGACACAAAATTACCTCAAAAAGACACAAGTGGTGCTAACCAAACAGAACATGTAACTCGTTTTGGTTTTTAATTAATTTGTTGTTCATTATAAATTTACTCAGTCTACCTGTAACTTTGTGGTTACAACCATTGTGTTTTTTCCATTTTATTACTATTTTTATGTCATAATTTTACATCTTGTTACACATTCAAACATTTATGTAATACATTATTTTAGTATTACCTTCACAACTCAAAAAACATATTTCTAAAATATTTTGATTCATATATTTAACTTTTTTTATATGAAGCACTGCATAACATTAATTTTACTTATTTATATTGTGATTATTTTGTCATCAATAGCATTTATCGATTAACTGACTTGCCATTAAATTTACCTAAAATGTTAACAAAAATCTTTTTTCTTTTTAAAGCAAATATGTCAAATATTTGTTATCCACCATCTACAGTATCTCACACCTGAGCATTTGATGCTTTCTTGATGATAAACTAAACATCAGTTTGGTTTTGTATGGATTTTAAAACATCACATCAGCATTTAAACAGATTTTTACTTATTTTGAACTTCCGAATTAGAAAATCTTGACATTCAGAAGCTGAAACCAGATGATTAAACTGATTGATAAATCAGTAGTTAAGTAACAGATGAATGCAGCTGTGGACGCCCCTCCATCCATCACAGCATCCTGTAGGCCGGAGGTCAGGGGTCGGACGTCAGGAGCTGCCTCTCAGTCCGTCCATTCAGCTTTTGTCCTGGGCCTTCATTCAGGCCTGCAGTGGCGCCTGCAGAGGGTCCAGAACCAGATGTTGAGAACCCTCACTGCAGCCTCTATGGGAAAAATGCACCGGAGTCAAAAACAAAACAAAAAACAGTGCTGCAATGATACAAGAAAACTACAAATAAGTGTACCAGAAACACAAAGAAACACAACAATGACAAACAAGAGATCCAAAAGTGGCAAAACGAGACTATAAAATGACCACAAACAGACAAAAAACTAAGAAAGAGACACACAAAAAGTACAGAGATGCAACAACAAAGTAGCTACAAAGAGGCACAAAATGAACACAGAAAGAAAAAGCAAATACAAAGAGATGTAAAAATGGGAAAAAGAAACAACAATTGACTATAAAGTTGCCCAGATTCACCTCTCACTAATAAATTAAAACATTATGCTGCAAAGAGACACAAAATGACTGCAAAGAGACAAAACAACAACAGAGTGACACAACAAACTACAAACTGACAAAACAACTACAAAGAGATACAAAGCAGCCATAAAGAGGCACAAAATGACAAGAGGGACAGAAAACAACCACAAAGAGACACAAGACAACTTAAAAGAGACAGACAATGACTATAAAAATGCAAACCACCTACAGAGACAAACAAATACAAAGAAAAAAAAACAACTAAAAACAAAAAAAGAAGCAACTACATAGAGACTCTGGTTTACCTCTGAGACAGTAACCAGACAAAAACATGATTTACAGAGACTCAAAATGACCACAGAGAGACACAAAATGACCCCAAACAGACAAAACTACAAAAAATAGAAACAAAACAACTACAAAGAGACACAAAATGACTACAAAAAGACAAAACAACCACAGAGTGACACAAAAAACAACAAACTGACAAAGCAGGGACAGAAAACAACCACAAAAAGGCCACAAAACAAACCACAAAAACCCAAAAGGTCCACAAAGAGGCACAAACAATTACAAAGAAACACATAGAGGCAATGAAGAGAACCAGAAGTACTACATCGACACAAAACAACTAAAAAGAGACACAAAACGACCACAGAGACAGAAAAAATAACAACAAAATCACACAAAAAGGATGGTGTTGTCTGGTTTCATGACATCGTAAGAACTGGAAGAAATGAAAGAGACACATCTATCCTTCCAACGGGCTGTGTAGAAAAACAGAAAACGGAAACAGACAAAGGCTGAAACTCGCTTTGTGTTTTGGCTGAACTCACTTTGACAGGCGAGTTCTGCCTGAGTGTCTTGACTCAGGGCAAAGATTCCCCCTCGACTAGTTTTAGAGGTTCATTTTCGATGCTGTTTACTGAAAAAGTGCTGCATGTCGAGCCTGTTATTAGTGAGCAGGTAATATTGGGATACAGTGAAGGAATTCAGAGGTGCGTACTCTAAAAAACTAAACACAGGCCTGGTCTCTGCAATTTAACTGAGGGTTCACATGTTGTTTTCTCGGTCAAAGCTACAAATTTTAGACTGTTCATTAGGTCAAAAATGTATTTAAAATCAAAGGAATTGCACTAAACACACCAACATTACATGTGTGGTATTGAAAATACAAGAAATCTCAATAAATTTTAAAGAGTTTGGCTGGCATTGGGTCAAACATGTCTCAGGTGGGCAAAGGAACAACAAAACAACCGCAAAGAGATACACAGTTACTGCAAAGAAATGAAAACATCCACAAAGAGTAACATAAAGAGATACAAAAAAAAATGACCACAAAGAGATTCAAAAACAACCACAGAGATACAAAACAACTACAGACACAAAATTACTAAAGACACAACAAACTACAAAGACACATTAGCTAACTACAAAGTCACACAAAATGACAGTTGAGTCAAAGGACTACAAAGACGCACATAATGACTACAAAGAGTAACAAAATGACGATGAGGCACAACATGACCACAAGGAGAGACAAAACAACTACTGTGAAGAGACCCAAAATTACTACAAGGAGACAAAATAACCACAGAGACACTAAATGTCTTTAAATATACAAACTAACTACAAAGTCATACAACATTACAACAAAGACAAACGAAAAGATCACAATTGCAACAAAAAATGAAAGCCTACAAACCCAACATGACAAAAAGGAACTACAAAGAGAGACACAAAATAGCTACAGAGTGGTTACAAAGAGACACAAAATGACTTAAGAGACAAAATGGCTACAGAGTGGTTACAGAGACACAAAATGCCTACAAAGACACATGAAACAACTACAGAGACACAAAAAAGAAACAAAACAAGTACAAAGACACAAAAAACTAAAAAAAAAAACCACAAAATTAATACACAAACAACTACGAAGAGACACAAAATTAATACAAAGACACAAGCAACTGCAAGGCATTACAAAATGACAACAAAGGGACACAAACTGACGACATAGACAAACAGCTACAGGGACACACAAAATGGCCTTAAAGTTACTAAAAATTACTACACATAGATACAAATTGTCTGCAAAGAGAGAAAAAAATGGTCACAAAGAGACACCTACGGACTACAAAGAGACACAAAATTACTATAGAGACACAAAACAGCTACAACCAGACAAACAACTAAATTTACAACCATAATTCAGCTTCATGCATGGAAGTGTTACTGAACAGGCGACTGGCGAAGACAACAAAACACACAAATGAGAACAAAGAGGTACAAAACACATCAGCTAATCTTCTAGTTTGGGGTTGTCCCATTGGGGGAAGAAAAGTCATGATCCAGTCAGTAATTAAGTAAAAATCTGAGTAATTTTTCACAGCTGAAATCAGGGGAACAAAGCGGTTTCTCCCTGCAGGCCTCCTCTCACACTTCGGGACTGTTTGTTTCCGATTCTGGAGCGTTGCCATGGAAACCAGCATTTAACAGCAGGTGAGGGGAGGGAGGAAACTCCGCCTCCACCCCTCCGACTTGTTTCCTCTGCTCGGCCTGAAACGGAGGTGTGTGCAGAGCGAGGGACTGCGTAAAAACTGGGTCTTTTCCTGGTATTTTAACTGTGTTTTCACTTCCCAGCATCCACACAGATGACAGAGAAACAGCTCAGATCCATAAACTGCTTCCAGATCAGCTCATTAAGCCCCAAGCTGAGCTGAGCTGTGCAGGAGGGGAAACACTGCAGAGACGGGACACTCGCATTAACAACAGCAGCAGCAACAGCAGCGGGCGAACAGGAGCCAGGCCAGGATTCCTGTGTGGTGGCGTCATGTGCAGCTGTACGTCCCCGGGGTCCGGACCCGGTCAGGACGGGTGGAGGCTCAGGGTGGAGGGGTGAGGGGAGGGAAGAGGGGTGTTTGGGCAAGCTGTAGTCCAAAAACTGAGTTTCCATTTTCTTCACATGTGGACGTCTGTTGCTCGGTTGGAGCAGTTCACTGCCAAAAGTGTCCTGTTCCATTAGTTCTGTTCTTGGGTTGCAATAAAACCACTTTTCACTCAAAGGTTTATGTATTTCTTTTCACTGAATCACACCACAAAAAGTTCAATGAAACACCCACTCTCTCAGCTATTTTAGATAGAAAATGAACAGACAAACAAATGAAAGTAGCTGTAGCTCCTCAGCCACTCTGACTGTACGCATGTATGAGAAAACCCTCTACAGTTTCCTTTCAAAGTGTCAGAAAACCTAGAGGTGATACAGCCTTTGAAGTCTGCAAGAAAAAATACCCCACATCTCTTTCAGTTATTCTTACAACCTGACCAACTTTACATTTTACTTAAAACTTATGTTTACATGAAGATAAACCTTTCAAGTTCAATAAAAATAAAAACAGTCATAAATTATTTTTTATTCATTTATTTAAGTTTATATTTTAATATTTGTGTTTGGTTCCCTGTTTCTGTCAAAGCAATCAGTTTTGTTCTTTAGCTGCAATATAAGCTACTTTTTACTCTGAGTTTGAGTCATTCTTTAACTGAATCAACTGAACTGGTTGTCATGAAATAATCTGCAACTATTTTAATTTAAAACAAAACATTTTGGTGACTTTTTTTAAACACATCAGATATATAGTCAACTGAATGTTTAAAGAAAGCCACGTCTGCACACATTATCTTGGCTTTTAGAAAACTAAAACAGGAGGTTTTTACCCATTATGAACTTGAGAATTTCGTCCTAGAATGTATGCTGTGATTGTCAATAACTGATCAATAATAAAATAGTTAACAGATGAACAAAGCTGTGAGAAGCCCAGAAGCTTAATTAAAAGATTTCAAGATTTTGTGTGTAACATACTGTATGTGAGCATTAACCGTTGCGAGTCAGGATTTCATGTGACATTTTTTATATGTGAAGTTCCATCTGCGATGAATGCTGAATCCCACAAACTTTGTCTAGACAGTGACTTTGCAACTTGTACTTTATTTTGGTGAGGAGGAAAAAGTTGCATGGAGCCAAATCTGGAAAGTAAGGCGAGTGGAGAGCAATAATTACATTGTTGCTAGCAAAACCTAGCTTAGCGTTAGCTTCAGGTGGCAAGCTAAAGCAGACAGCAACCAGACACCTTTAAACAGCTCGAAGCTGAAGAGTTCATCAGCACGACTGCCACAGTTAAACAGCAGTAAGGTAGTGCTTGTTTTATGGACCCTGATGGGCAGGAAGCAAACACACCTGTAACTCCATCTCACTTATCAGAAAGCGGCACAACCAGCTACTACAGCACACCTACAATACATTTTCTGACCTACATGTCCCGCGTCTTCTGCCTTGTCAGTTAATGTTTTAAAATGATGAATTTTGATCTTGTTTTTTCTACCTTTGTTCCTGTGTTTATTCGCACCCCCTCCTCCATCTTTATCCTCATTAATATTGGCAAATTACTGACAATTTCTACACATAAAAACAGCTGCTGGTGAATTTTAAATCACAAAAAGTTCAACAGAGTGATCAGATTGATCCCATTCACCACACTGGAAGCCAGCTGAATAGCTACACAAAATGAAAAAGACTTCAGTCTTACGTCATAGATTTATTATTTTTTGTCATGGTGGTGTGATTAAGTTTTGTCGAAGGCAGGAAAAAAAACCACCTCTGCAGTGAACTGTTTTTATACACACACTTTGGGTTTAGGGAATAAAATCAACTTATTCTCAATGACAAAGTCATCCTGAGTTGACTTTACTTACCGAAGAAACAATGTTTTAAAAAAAATGCAACAGAAGTTAAGAAAGGTTCAACAAAACTGCATTTTAAAAAACAATTGTACCCCATTTGAAGAATAACCAGTGAATAATTTTTAAATTTATTTCTGCACATACACCTGCACCAGTTTCCTGTCCACTGAAAGGCTTGAGGCTGTGTCGATAAATAACTTTTTAATTCAATAAATTCCATACCAACACATCTCCTGTGGCTTTCTTTGGTGAGATACAGCTAATCAATTTTCTGTAACATCCAGATCTTATCCTGAATACTTTTACTTCTGTCCATGAAGTCCCATGATCACGCCTGTCCTCCTCAGCCGTCTCCTTCCTCGTCGTCATGAGATCCGATGGGTTGCAGATCCGGCGGCTCCTCCAGCGCCTCCTGCTGGACATGCTGGATGGACACCATGCCGGTGAGGAGGGCATAGCTCAGCATGGCGCCCAGAGCCACCAGAGCAGACAGGATCTGCTTCCTCCGCTTGTTGGGGACGTGGTCGAAGTCTCCACCTTCAGGCTGGGAGGATGTTTTCTGACTGGGACTCTCTGAAAGAACACAACATGGAGGACATTAGCCATGTTTCGGTTGATGTGTTTGAGGAAATACTTCAATGAGTATGACAGATCAAGGTCAATATGCTCTCATCAGAGCAGACAATCTCCACTGTTACTTTCATGAGGAGAAAAGTACTACATCTACCAGTATGAATCCATTATTTTTGTTGGCAGGAAGAACAGAAGCCTGTGAACACGTTTGCTTTATCACAAGTTTGAACTGGTTTACCCTCAGAGACTGCTAGAGCTGACTTATAAACCATTTGCCGGGAGTCTGCTCTGAACTATCTGATGTCAAAGGAGTTGTTGATGTGGCTTCAGTTTGCTCAAACTGATGGCCAAAAAGTGAAGTGTAAACTGCAGACAGCAGTGTTTACATCACAAGTCAAAAACCAACATATTTGAAAAACAGAAGCTAACTTGTCCGTGTGATATTCATCAGTAGTTTTTGTGCTGAGATCAGGAGTTGACCTGAAGAGCGCTCTCAAACACGATGGTCCAAAATCTCCCAGGTGCTCATTTTATTTCACTTAATTTGAATAGATTTTTTTGGATATTTTATTTATATACTTTATCTCTTAAACGATATAGCAGCATGTAGCAGCTAATAGGGCTGCAGCTATCAATTATTTTAACTATGCTGAGAGAGAGCAAATATTTATTCAGGTGACCAGAAACACGACACCAATTGAATCACAATGTGCATAAAAAACAAGTATTTTCTTAGAAGTTTGCCCTATCATCTTAAAAGGTAATGATGCATCTCGGGCTGTAGAGTCCAAGTGGATTGGTCGACAGATTAGTTGATAGGCTCTCATCTGACCAAATTCCCATTGGCTGGACAATCTCCGCTATTACTTTCAAAAGGAGAAAAGCTCTACATCACAACAACTTTCAACTAATCCATTTTTTGGTGGATGGAGGAACTTAAAACCTGTGAACACACCTGCCTTTTAACAACATTGAACTGCCCCAACCTAATGGAGACTGCGAGGTTTCAGTTATTTAACGTTTAATAAACGTTTAACAGTGAGTCGGCTCCAAACTAACTGACAACACGTCAAAGAAGTCGTCGATGTGCTGCATTTTGTAACAGATATGCTGCTTTAATTGAAACTACTTTATCAATTTTTTCAGTGCCATGATTCAGGATAACATCTTTAAAGACTGTCAATCAACTTGCTAAACGGTCTAGGAGGCCGATAGGTGAGTCAACACAGCGTTCCTGTACATCACAGAGTTACAGCAGCTGATTTTATTTTAACAGATGACTTGGACTGTTAAATGTGTTTCAGGATGGACGACTTGCCTACTGAAGCCAAATCTACCTGTAGGTTTCAGAAGACGTGCCAGCCATGTCGATCACTTACATTTGGAACACTTGGAACTCGGGATTTGATCTGTTCAACTTTCCAACCTTGGAAGCATAAAAGCACCAAAAGGAAAACAAGCTGGGAGCCTTTCAGACACTGGTGCTGCCGAAATAAATTTAACACCAAAAATTTCCAGAAATCATCAATGAAAAAGCAAAATCTGTAAAAGAGACCCTAAAATACAAAAAAAACCCCAAAACAAACAAAAAAAACAACTGGAGTCTGTCTGAAACACTCGTCCAATAATCAGACATCTAAAGTGATTACATTCATGTCTTCTCACATTATAAATCTTTTTCCTAAAACTTTGCCTGATTTCAACCATCTTTGTTTGACTAGCCCATGTCTCTGTGTGTTTTTGTTGTCAATGAGACAATCTGTTTACAGCAACAGTTTACATGATGTCACATATTTTGATTCCAAAAGATCTCAGTGGTACAAAAATGCAGCCGGACTCAAGGCGGAGCAAACTTGAGCTGATATTTCTGTCAAACACTTAAAAATCGATGGTTCTAAAACCAGAAAACAAACAGCAAGTCGGTTCGGGCAGTTTGTCAGAAAATGTAAATATACTGAAATGAGTGGGAAAACCTCCAACTTCGTCCTGAAAATAAGAAGGCTGTACAGTTTTTACACAGAAAGTTCATCTCTCGGTAAACTACTTTACTCCTTACAATAAATCAGCTGCTTATCATCACACATTTCCAGTCTGGGTGTGTCAGCCTCACCTCGGTTGTCTCTGGGAAAGTAGAGCAGCAGAATGTTGGTGCAGAAGTTGGTCAGGTTGTCGAGGGATTTCAGACACTGCTGCAGTTTCCCGTTGGGCAGTTTGGACTTCAGGATGGGCGCCAAGTGACCGAACACGTAGGCGTCCAGAGATGAGGGCCTGCAGAGGAAAAGTAAAGGATGGTACAAGCTGCAATGTTTACGGTAACATCCAGAAAAAACAACCTGACCAGAGATATATCCATCATAGCGTCGTTTGATTACAGCTTACATTTTGGAGGTCATGCTGGCTTTCTATTTTCAGGTGGGGGTTACCTTTCCACAAGTATGAGTGTGGATGAACTTACGAGTCTCCAAAGAAGAACTTGTGCGAGCCGAGTCGTTGGGACAGCAGGTTCATGCACTCTGAAGCATCACGGTACAACTGAAAAACATAAAACCAAGACAAACAGTAAAAAAAAACGTTCACATTCCAGCAGGTTTTCTGATGGACGCAGATCAGCAAGGCAGTTTTTAAAAAAATTGGAGTGAAGACATCAACATCGCAAAACTATTCCTAGCTCTTGGTGATGGAAACTGGTCCAGACAAGCCAGAATCTACCAGCAGGTACTTGGATTGTCAGAACCACTCTGCAGTCAATCAACTCCCTCTTCATGACCTTCCAGATGAAGTCCTTCTGCGTTCTGATTCTGAAGTAGCCATGGCCAGAGAAGCAAAAATGCTTTGTTTCATCACTAATATCGCCAAGCTGTTTGCTGGACTCTAAGAACTGTTGTGAGTTCAACTGAGAGGCTTTCTTCATGACCTTCTGCTGGTTTTTCTGAATCATCCTGGTGCATTGATACCTGCCAGCTTACTCACAAAATCTGGTTAAACATAAATCAACAGATTCTTCGGGGTTTTCTTCACCACTAGCTTCCTCCAGCAGGTTCAAGAGCTGTTCAAGAACAGGTGCCACCACCCTCAGCCTTAAATCAGCTGATTGCACAATGCAGTGTTTCAACATTGCCCACTGGGATCTTGTGTCCCTGACCTTATTCCTCCTTGTCTAAAGCAAATTTTATTGCAGTTCATTGTTCATCCTCCTGCTGCTGTACCAGCTGCACCATGACTAGCATCTCTGATTTACTACTGCTGACAGGATGCATTAACGATCCAAAGGCAACCATAAATTATACCGTGGAAAGTAAAGCAAGAAACTACCATGGCCAAGGTTAAAGGTCCAATGTCCAGTGGGAGTGCCTGAGCTAAAAATGTATACGGTGGTGGTAGTAAAAGGTCATGAATGACAGACGTGTTCATCATTAATATCATTTCAGTTCAGCCCAGCATTAGGTTTCTTCCAACTTCTTTAACTGAAAGTTTCCACCGTCTTCTCTGTGATGACTTTTACGACCACTGGAGCTTTGAGACTTGCTAATACCTTCACTGTAGAACTTCCAAACTCAACAGAACATCCAACTTCCGTTCTTCATTCCTTAGAAACCGACTCTTTTGTAGTGAGGCCATGTAAAGGTCATATCACTCTACTAGAGCAGGAGATCTCAGGTTAAATCGCTAAACTAATTAGTTTGCAGAAGCTGCCGCTATTGGGGCAGAAAATGTCAACTTAAATGTGAAATAAAGGGACAGCTGGCAGATTCACGCAATTCAAAAAGAAATACGAGCAAGAGCTACTTCTTCATCTAAGTGTTAGAGGTAATTTTTTATGAAAGTACTTTGTCAAATTATTCTCAACTTAACGTACACGAGCAAGCCTTTTCAGAAGTGTTTAAAGGCACTCCGGTTTTTTCAGTGAATTGACTCAGCTAGCTTCACCGTCATAACAAACTTTGCTCACATAATAACAAGCAGTCATACAATGTTCCAAAGACTTAGAGATGTGGCTGAAAGCTCCACGTCACTTTAGGGTAAAAGTTTCCACAGACCCAAGGCCGCAAAAGTCTGGGAGTACTTCAAATTATGACAGAACAAACAGGTGGTTTGTGCACGGTGCAGAGTTTGGATAGCAGACCACAGCAGTACAACACAATGCACAAATACCTAAAGAGAAAACACAGCAAGACTGTGGAAGATGCACTGTCATAAAAGGCAAACCCATCGTAAGTTTTATCTGTTCATTAGTATTAATAACTTCTGTCCTTGTAGCTGCTACACACATTCACAAATCCCCAAAGTTGTCTGCTTGCCACCTTAGAATTCCCATCAAATAAACAAATGTTCAGGCTACAATCTGGGCTTATTCTACTTTGACATGCAGTGTTCCTTAACTGAAAATAATTAAGTTTTTGCCATTATCTTAAGCACATTTCTTTATGTAACCTTTGTTTACAAGTTGTTGTTTTTTCATGACATACAGTTTGCCAAAACAAAATGCACTGTCAATTTAATTATTTGGAGGAAAATTAATTGGTTATGCTAAATATATTCTTGATCAAGGCATTTTTAACTGATCTGATCGCATGCAGCTCTGGGTCTGCTACATGGCTGGTTGCACTTCCCCTCATATTAAACCCAAAAAACATCCAAGGAAACTCAGGATAGTGTGGCCCTGGGACCTGTGCTTGGCCTGCCCTGAGTGGCCAGTGCGCAGCGGGGTCGGCGGCTGCTGGTCTTGGCCCACTGGGGCCTTTGCCCCGCGGCCGTGGCAGGCTCTGGCTGGGGCCTTTCTGTGTCGCCATCTGAGGGGATGTGTGTTCGCCTCAGTGGTGTGGTGGCTGACATTCGTACACCGGGATCGCTACTGATGGCTCAGGTCTTGGGGCTCTCCTGGTCTGCATCTGTCCTTCACAGGGGCTCGGTTGCACTTGCATGGTTGCACTCATGTCTGAACACTCCTCACCCCACACATTCTGTAAAATGACACTGCATTGTCCGCACTAACACCCACTATTGTTTGCTTTGTTTATTTTTATTTATTTATTTATTTCTCCTGACATATGTAGTTTGTTTTTTGGGGTTTTTTTGTGTTTCTTTTCCTTCTCTAATTTTTCTGTGCATATATAAATCATATGCTCTGGTAATCGTTAAGATTCAGGTTTTCTCAGCTTACTCATCTCTCACAGGTGCTCTTGATAATCAGCTCTGTTTTCCGGGAAAAGTCGTAAGATCATTTCTGCTGTGTTTGTGCGGGTTTAGCAGTTGGTAGATTGTGGTTGTATCTGTTTTCTTCTGCTTTCCTTTCACTCTCTCTCTCTCACTTCTTTAAACTGTACACTTTTCTTTTTACCTCTTTCAGGTCCAGCAATACTACAATTCAGAAAAAAGCAAGCATTCAAAATAAATGAATACAATAAAATAGAATGAATACATAAAGAAATAAATAAAAATCAGACTATCAAGAGGGGCATTATATTCATAAAATTTCCCTTGACAAAGTAAATTTGTTCAGCACAACACAGCAGTCAGATCATCATTCTGCTTGCTATGATGCTAAACCGGACATGTTAAAAAAATAAAAAATAAAACTGACTAATCCATGAAACAGTCAATAGTTTAACTGATAGAAAAATAGTTGTTGGTGGCCGTCTCAATAAACTTTCTTTAATGGTGTTTGTATCTTGTGATGGATGTGTGGATGCCAACATNCGGGATAGTGTGGCCCTGGGCCCTGAGTGGCCAGTGCCCAGCGGGGGTCGGCAGCTGCTGGTCTTGGGCCACTGGGGCCTTTGCCCCACAGTCGTGGCAGGCTCTGGCTGGGGCCTTTCTCTGTCGCCATCTGAGGGGATGTGTGTTCAGGTCTTGGGGCTCTCCTGGTCTGCATCTGTCCTTCACAGGGGCTCGGTTGCACTTGCATGGTGTTGCACTCATGTCTGAACACTCCTCACCCCACACATTCTGTAAAATGACACTGCATTGTCCGCACTAACACCCACTATTGTTTGCTTTGTTTACTTTTATTTATTTCTCTTGACATATGTAGTTTTTTTTTTGGTTTTTTTTGTGTTTCTTTTCCTTCTCTAATTTTTATGTGCATATATAAATCATATGCTCTAGTAATCGTTAAGATTCAGGTTTTCTCAGCTTACTCATCTCTCACAGGTGCTCTTGATAATCAGCTCTGTTTTCCGGCAAAAGTCGTAAGATCATTTCTGCTGTGTTTGTGCGGGTTTAGCAGTTGGTAGATTGTGGTTGTATCTGTTTTCTTCTACTTTCCTTTCACTCTCTCTCTCACTTCTTTAAACTGTACACTTTTCTTTTTCCCTCTTTCAGGTCCAGCAATACTACAATTCAGTAATAAGCAAGCATTCAAAATAAATGAATGCAATAAAATAGAATGAATGCATAAATAAATAAATAAAAATCAGACTATCAAGAGGGGCATTATATTCATAAAACTTCCCTTGGCAAAGTAAATCTGTTCAGCACAACACAGCAGCCAGATCATCATTCTGCTTGCTATGATGCCAGACCGGACATGTTAAAAAAATAAAAAATAAAACTGACTAATCCATGAAACAGTTTAACTGATAGAAAAATAGTTGTTGGTGGCCGTCTCAATAAACTTTCTTTAATGGTGTTTGTATCTTGTGATGGATGTGTGGATGCCAACATTGACTTTCATTCATTCCTGAAAAGTCGATTCTCTGAAGGTTTTTCCCGCTGACAGGAACAAATTGTTCTAAGTGACATTCCCCTGAACACCGTGTGACCTCTGACCTCAGTCCAAAGTCGGAGGATTGTTCCACACCAGCAGTTTTCCAACAGAAAAGCCCACTGAAGAAAGTTTTCCTTTTGCTCTACATTTGTTCCAACCACTTCAGCGACCCGAACACATGGAAACGATATCTCAGTACAAACTGGAAAACTGCTGCATGTTCTGAAGTTACTGCAGCCGGCCGACACACAAAATCAAAGTCAGTCCTGTTTCCTCACAGACAAACAGAAACGCTCTCTGTGGTGTTGTTGCACATTTGGTGCATGCTGTGACCTCATGGCATGTTTAATTTCAGGCGGAAAATCCCAATTCTTTCACATTAACATTTTTCTGAGGTCTGTTGTTTCAAATACAAAAACTGTGTCTTACTACAACTGACAAGAAAGATGTGGCTCTGTTTTTAACAAACTGCTACACGTTAAATGTTGGACAGAAGTGAAAGACTACCAAACAAAAGAAGGGAATAATAACAACAGGAATGATTCTGCGTCCTTCTCTGTTTCCTCTTTCGCAAATTTCACACTTGAGAGAAAGAACGAAGGATCGGAAAGAAAGAGAGAAAGAAAAAGACAGGAATAAAGGAAGAAAAGAGAAGAAGGAAGACAGGAAAGGAAAAGTGCAAGAATGAAAAGAATGAAAGAAAGAAAAAGAAAATAGATGGAAAGGGAAAAACGGAGGAAGGAAGGAAGGAAGGAAGAAAGAAATGAAGGAAAGAGAAAGAAAAAAGAAAAAGAGAATGAAACAGGAGGGAGGGAGGGAGGNTAAATATATTCTTGATCAAGGCATTTTTAACTGATCTGATCGCATGCAGCTCTGGGTCTGCTACATGGCTGGTTGCACTTCCCTTCATATTAAACCCAAAAAAAACATCCAAGGAAACAGCAGCTTCTTAAAGATTATGCTCTACAGAGGTGAACCGAGCACAGTGTGTGAAGGTAGCACAGGATTTCTGGAGAATTTCGAACTTCCCACTTTGTAGATGGAAAGCACGTACAAATTAAGGCTCCTCCAGCGACTCCCTCACTGAGACCTTTTAATAATAAATTATAAAGGTATGGATGACACAAAATCTTCTCTTAGGGTCTTTCCTCATAACAAACATTTGTCTTAAGTGCCAGTTTCCCTTGCACATGCTCAGTCTTGGGTGGATGACGAAATTTACATGCAATTAATAAAAATAAATGTGAAAAAACTAACAATTTATAAAATAAATTGAGCACCCCAGACAAATGTCCAGTGCTCACATTGCTGTTTTAAGGCGCAGACATATGTTAAAATGCACAATAGCAACCTTAACATGTGTCAGTGAACTAGAGGAACACTTTCCTAATTTATCCCAGCTTCATTCCACACTTGAGCTCTGACTGGGTGTCATTAAGTGTCACAGAAATCTTCGTCATGGTGCCTCTTTACTAGCTAAATCCCTACAAAGCTTTCTGCTTGCCAATACAGAACTGCCTTCCTCCTCTGGTCACTACAGTATTAAGCCGTACGAGACTCCACCTGGTACAATGCTTGTGTGGAAGTGTGTATTATCTGGTATCGGATAGGCAGATACTCTAACTCAGTGGTGGCAGGATTCCCATGCCCCAAAGCTATTATCAAAAATATACAGATTATAATCAAAACTGGATGATTCAATCTCCCTTCCAAATTCAAAATGGGAGGCTGACTTATCCAGTAACTTTAATCAAAATATATGGTCAAAAATATGTTTAAACACTTTTATAATGACTAAGAATTCAAATATGCAACTAATACAATTCAATATTCTCCATAGAATTAATTATACAGGACAAAGAATGTTTAGGATGAGTCTGTCAAAATCAAATATCTGCTCACATTGCACCAAAAATGCAACTGACAACTACTTCCGCCCGTCCAGAGGTTCTGGTAGTGACTATGAGCCTTCTGTTGTTTCTCTGGGTGGGGATTTGGGTTGCCTCGCCATAGGGGTAGATCTAGGTTAAGGTCCCTCCTATAACCCCAGATCCCTCCTCCGCTCTTTCATGCACACACACAAACGTAGGGCTTTGGGGAGCGAGCAAGTCATGCAGGGTGTGGCGGAGCGGGCCATCATGGGGGTGGGCGGGTGGGACTGGATCTTGGGCTCATTGTTCTCTTGTCCGCTCAGGGTGTTTCTCACAAGGCATGGTGGGAGGGTTAAGGGTGGCGTGGATGTGTGAGAGCAAGTGTTGTAAGATTGGAGGGGAAGGTGGATGGAGGGAGGATGTGGTGGATAGGGAGGTAGGGGGGATGGCGGGAGGAGATGGGTGGGTAGGGAGGGATGAAGGGTGGTTGTAGGGATGGAGGATGGATGAAGGGAGGATGTAGGTGGGTAGGGAGGGATGGAGGGTGGATGCAGGGAGGATGTGAGTGGGTAAGGAGGGAGGATGGATGGCGGGGGGATGTGGGTGGGTAGAGGG